AACACTGCCTGACGATTTTTTGAAAACCAAAAAGTAGGTGGTTTTTGTATATCAGCCGAAACTAATAAATTTGAACGGTATTTGTAAACCATGTCTGTATCAAAAAAAATTAGTTGATTACGCTGGATAAACAATGGAGATATTTAAATTTACTTTACTCGAGGAACTTTTGGGACACTCTGTTTTTATATAAATACGTATTTTTTCAATTTTATAAAATAAAATATATAATTTATACAAATGGCACAATCACAACGCATAGCGCAATATATTTCTGATAGTGAACGTGAAATTGTAAAATTACTACTTCTATTTAATGAATATAATTATTGTACATTTAATAATATAAAATTGCTCAAATAAGTACTAGCCTTTTTTTTCATACAACTCATTGAAGTCAATGTAACTATCGTAAAGCAAAGACAATAAAATAATTCTGTAGAAAGCTTAATGTGTGGATAGCTTATTTTTTCAAATATTCTCGAAAATATATTGATTTTGCTTTTTTTTATTTGATAATTACCATAAATAAAATTCGTTTATCGAAACACGATTATCATTCCTTTTTCTAATGACAATGAATTAAAATGAGTAAATGATAAATACATACTGTAGCATACTTAAGATAAAACTATTAGTCATCTTGTTAAACAGTAAAATTTGAATCTTTAATGTACTATATGATCAGTTAGGAAACTAAAACGACAAAACATTGATCTAAGAAACGAAGAAAAGTTTCAATCGGTTCGATATCGAAGAGTCATTTTTTTATCGAAGATTCAGGTCGAATGGTAATAGTGATGACCATCATATGTTAACCGTCAGCAAGTTTGAGAACACAATCTGACACATTCCATTACAAGAGAAGTTAATAACATTTTCTTATGCGCTCGAGTACTATGACAATATTGATACAAGTTTGATACATCTTTGACGATCAGATAGCACATGTTGCACTGAATCTGATGATTAAAAAAAAAGCTGCATCTCAGTAGGATATTGCCATTATGTACCGTTCTAATCAGTATAACTAAATGACAATATGAAAGCATAAATTCGAATCGAAATATGAAAGGTACAGTACACTAAGCCACTGAATACAAAATATTGGAAAAAAGTATTTCATATCGTCGGGACGGCTATCCTATTCCGATTAGAAAACTTTATTGGAAGTGTCAAAGAACGATTCAACCTAGTTCTGGTTTGAAAATTTTGGACCTGATGGGCTTTATTGCTCATCAAACTCTGTCTAATTGAAGAAGTATTCTTCGTAGGATTATGTTTATTCCATGATTTGAAAATGTTTTCAGAGTTTCTTCTTACTAATGTTACCTAAAACAATATTTCGATGATCATAAATATATACAATAAATACATTATGGTACAGATCATTCATGAAATTCAAACATAATGGATATTTTTTGATTATTGAATTAGTATTTATAATAATTTGTCTAAAACACAATTCTTCACAAAACCAGTAGATTGTTTTTTTTTTTTTAGAAAAACATATTTCTATGTGATAATCAAAAAGACAAAAGAGAAAAGCAAAAGAAGAAAAAAAAAACAAAATAACATAAAAATTTTTAATTACGATACAATTTATGTGAATAATTTTGATTGAAAGGATTATTCATAGATCTTGGAAATAATAAACGTTTAAATGCTGTTCGAAATTCAACATTAAAAACAGTATAAATTAATGGATTACAAGCACTATTTATATAACCAAGCCAAAGAATCAATGTAGGTAATGGTTCTTTTATATATAATGACATATCAATAAAAGCTGATAAAATATAAACAAGAAAAAATGGTAACCAACATAAAAGAAATACACTTATAATAATGCCAAGTGTTCGTGATAAACGACGTTCACGTGTTAAAGAAATTTTTTGTCGTTCATTCATTAATGTTGCTAAACTTTTACCTTTAAATAAACTTCGACGACCAGTATCTTTTGCTAAAGATCTTTTTGAATTTAATAATTCAGTTGTTTGTACAGAAACATGTTGTTGTTGAA